ATTGTCTTTCAGCTTTCCTATCCGTCATACGCTCCTTGTCAGTTAGCTTCTGAGACCGCGGACAATGTATGCATTAGACTCACGATATCTTAAAGCCAATCAGCTTACGTCCTTGACTGATGACCTCAGGCGGATGGAAACAAAGTAAGTGCACACACGCGCTGGATCCTTAAATTAAAAAAGCCTGCTACTCAAGAACACTTAACTGAACAGGCAGCTTGTGGCGACAGCTTCGATAGGTTCCAACCTGGTCCGTATAATTTTACTTGTTATTTAAAAATTATTGTTTGTCATATGGTGGTAGCTTTAGACAATTTGGGATGCAGAACGGTCTGCGAATTAGTTTGTTTCTGACCAATTGCAAATGCCCTCTTGTTGTGCCGCGTGTTCTATTACTGTCTTCTGACTCTCTTTCGACCAGTCAACTTTCACAGATAAACGATCCTTAGTTAAAGTTGCACAGCTACAGAATGAGAGGATGCTATTAATAGAACATGCGATGTACTGATCTGAGTTTTCCGATTATCACTCAAACCAATCATCAGATACGGTGTAGAAAAGAGCCATGGAAGGCTAAGTGTGCGTATAAATTTTAACGTGTCACTTCTTGTCAACAGTGGGTTTAATATATTTGAAATTCCTCGTGCTCATCTCTGGAATTCCTGATTACTTTAGTGGCACCCCGTGTGTTTTATGTCCAAGTAAAGAATATCTGTGATTTCATGACTCATGGCTATTTACGACATGCAGATTATTGGTCAATTTCATTCGCTGTCAACCTAACTACTGGTCACAGTCTACGTCATTCAGTGGTTAGTAATTGTATCTATAAAAATTACTGCACATAATACTGAGGTGAAAAAACCGCGAGCTTGTTAGTGAGATGCGTTCAGTAAAAACATGACTCAGGCTGCCCACGGCTAGTATGATTTTCATCTCTCAGCGAGGATGTCGTCATCAGCAAACACAAACCATTGGCCCGCTACCATCTCATGAGCTGCAATTTGGGAGCCAGCGTCGCTCCTTTCCACTGATGCTCCACGTTTAATCAGTCGTGTTCGGAAAAGTCGACAGTTTCAAGGCCGCAGTTGTTTTTTTCTCGAAATTTTCTGGCGTGGCAATGAGTCTTTCTACATCATCATTTGGTCCCTAATATTTGTGTTTGGTCTGCGTACTACTCCGAATTCGAGGGCGGCAGAGAGGCAGCTGACGGCTTCCAGGACGTGCTGCCAAGATTAGCTTTGATATGGTCAAATTCGTCGCCAACAGGAAATCCCCTTTGAAGGTCCCCCTAGGTTTTCCCTGGAGGGACGAAGACGTTCCGCAACGTGGAACTTAGTGGAATGTCTGGAGACTGGTTGGGCTCAAAAGCGCTGTCCTTAACTTTCATCCGCCTAAAATCTCTGGTTTCCTGCCCGACTTTCGATCTCCTGGCGTCTAAATGTGTGTTGCCACCGAAAGAGAGGACGGCACTAGTTGATCCGGAACCTGGCGCGGTACAGTGGGACATGCCAGCACCCAACCATACTCGGCTTTCCAAACAACGACGGCTGCAGAGGGTCGCACCTAAGACAAACATCTCACACATGGAGAGTACTGGCACGCTTAGCTTTAGGCCGCGGTAAATGAGTTGGACACAGGCACGATCTTAACCGTACCAAACAATGCATCTATACTTGTATTCAGCCACAGTATGGCGTTTTCTCCACTGTAAGTTCGTAAAAGTGCGCAAATTGGTCAAACATGTGGTTCAGTAGCCGCTGACTCTATAAGTAACCTTTCTAATGATGATGTCGGACAGCTGGCTACCACTGCTCAGTGACGGCTGTTTTCTGAATGTGTATGGGATCCTCCTTGACAGATGACGGAATATACAATAAAATCGCTAGCCATGCCAACCTCCATGATATGGCAATCAAATATAAAGTCGGGCAGATACGATGCACATCGGAAAAGGGATTTTGCATGCCGAAAATATTTGCACCATCTTATCGCTGACCGCAGTGCATGGTCCCCAATTTTGCTTGTCGGAGACTGTCAAATCATCTCCACAGCTCTACATGCGACAGTCTTCTCGATGCATATAATGGTGGGTACGCTCCTATCCGTGTAAACTGCATTCGGAGGAAATCGTTTGCCACCACTCCTTACGACAAAGTAACACAGTTTCAGGTGGACGGCATAAAACGTGTGTAATAATTCATGGGCAGCCGATAAGGATTCAGCCAATATGGCACTTACGCCATCATCGTTGACAGTATCGGTCAACTACAACGCAGTTGGCAGTATGACCGTCTTCCTGGAGGATGTCCCCTGTGTGCTTGACACCAAGGCGAGGACATGTATGGGTACTTACGCCTGATATAGTTTATAGTGATGGTTGGCTTTCACTGCAGCTACGCCCTCTCTCATTCTACATCCCGGTACCCGGTGTCAAGACTGGCTCAAGAAGACCGGAGACGGGGAAGGCGAATGTGGGTGGCAAGGTCGAGCCCGCAGCTTGTCGGTGCACTCCAAACAACTGGTAACAAAACAAACGATTAGGATTTTAACCAACAACAAAAATGCGTGTGGCAGCATTGGTCCCACCGGGCGCGTGGTCTGCCAGCAATTTTAATCTTGTGCATTTCAATAACGCCTGTCAAAATTCGATATGACCCTCCTGTTGGTCCAGCCAATTTTCAAAGTAATCCGTTTGGGGGGGACAGACCGTATCTCGTATTAGGATTACGGCACGGGAAGTCGGTATAACATAAAATAGATTACAAATGCACAATGCACATACTATTATCTGATCAATGATAACTGACAGATCAAAAACTGAGCAGGAGTGTGAAAACATTCCAGAAACCATTATTACGCTCGCAATTTACAGACCTTGTGAACTTAAATATATTTGGAGCTGTGTTCCTGCCCGCGCCAATGTGCATTCAATTTTAGTGAAGATTTATTTTACAATTCCTTGATGTTGGTTCCAAGCACTACTGTTTGATCGGTGAAAGTGTCTGAGTCTTTCAACTTGTGTGCATGCCACGGACGGATGGCTTTATACTTGGAGCACGAATGTGCATTTTCACTCGTTTCTAGTAGTTTCAAAGGACTAGAGATTCACATTTTATTTTGGGACTCGAACCATGCGCAATCGTAAATAATCATAATACCAACTTAATCTTCAGTCACCCTCGTTATTAACCGCAGTGAAACGTGCATCCGCTCATTCCGACTTTCATCAGTTATCTTGCTCTTCACAACATATGAAAAGTCCCTGCCAACGTTTACTTGCGGATACGGCACCGAACCATACCGACCTCTTCAGTGGCAACGTTACCCTAAAGTCACATCTGCTGTCTTTATTGCTCAACTTGCAACAGGGACACAAACCGCTATTTATTTAAATCAATTTAATGTATATGGAATGACTGCATTTTTGTTGCAATGGCTGATAATTTGCGTTTATTCAACTACTGAATACTTACTTAATTGCGATTACTACACCGAAACATGTTTGACTTAACCATACAAGGCTAGTGGACCAGAAAATGTGTCAACCCACTTATAAAATATAGAAGCAAAACTATAAGTTATAGGCTTACGTGCCAACTAGTGCAATATGTGATTGGTCAATTAACTGAGGTGCACAATGATCGAATCCCATAAACGAACCATTTTGTATGCACATTATAGAAAACATTTTATGAAGGAACGTGAGGAAAAAGTCATCATGACAGCTAATCGTCGCTGCTGAGACGCGGTCTGTGAGGAGTTATTAGACACCTGGGGAACGCACAGGTGAACACTGTTCCCAACGCCAAGGTCGGCGGGTGCCGATGGTCTAGCAATCATCACACCAAAATCCAACACCGGTGAAGTTGCAACGATTAACGATGCGAATGTCGTTCATCTAGCAGTCATCACAGCACGTGCAACGATCCCCGATTAAGGGAGGGGGGAGAGACATGTCAGTATGGCGACTGACTCCTATAGATATACAGCAACCCCGTGTCCATGAACCATTCGTATCTGCTACTTTCTCTGATAATGGTTTTATGCCTGAACAGTAAACGTCAGACGAATAATACTCGTTTTAATTAACTACATATATATTGATGTATTGATAGATATAGATACATAGGTCAACTTCATGAGACACTTTTAGTAAGAGGAAATTAGTCATAATTTAGAGCTCCATAGCTACTTGTTCAATGTAAATGGCCGTCTTGTGAATACCACTCATGATTTCCGATCTACCTACTGGTTAGTGATTAATCACGGCATGACGATAAAGGTAACTATCTGGTTGTTAGTGTAATCAAAATCCAGTCTTTTGGAAAACTTATTTTTTCACGCGGAGAAGACGTTAAGGCCAACATGAATGTTGACTATTACACAATGCACGGTTATAGTATTTTCCTAGTTACTCATCCTCTCAGCATCTGCTTACTCACGCCAATATATTTACTTGTAGGGAAATTAATGCACCTAATTTATGAAGAAAAGAGAATATGACGGACATAACATTATCAGTGATAGTTGGGAATCTCACGAACGAATGTCAATGTATCTTCATGCATAATAAACAAATAGGGAGATATGCAAAATTTATTGCCATATAGACATGTGAAGTATGTTAATTAGGTAAGTTAGTATAGAGGCTTTCTAAAAAAAGTTACGATGCACTTTGACTGTTTAAGTTAAAGCAGTCTTACGAAATCTGCCAGACGCACATGGTCTACAACAGGGTTTCCTGAACGCACATTGGATGATTTTGAAAATGGTACAGATTATGAATATCTCTGAAAATTGCTTTATACATTTTGAGAATTTTTCGTTTAAGTTTACTAATGCGGAAACGAGCAATCTTTAGGCACCTAAATCCGAAAAGCGCTTGCTCCATAAAGTTATGCTACTCTTGCGACCTTCCACATTTATCCGAAAGCTTAAACACGAACAGCATTCACAAGTGTTATTCCAGCCTCTGTGATTGTAAGTTTTATTCTCCAATGGGCATGGATTGTGAGTTCGATGGTCGTAAACGCGAGTCCCAAATCATTATGACAGCTGGACGCCGAATTGTGCGTAAGTCACTTTATAGTACCAGCAAACGTCTGCATCATCTGCGGAACGCTCCCTTTTCACTACGCCCAGCCAAAAGACTAAATCAGTGCACTCGAAGACAGACAGAGTTTAAAACCTCCTATGCGTTTGTCACATGCGAATTGTCTTTGAACGAAAGTCACTGTTTGGAAAAGTGAAGGGGATTTTCCAAATCCCACCGGAATGCATAGCCGTGGAGGTCATATGTAGAAATCGACGCAATCCGTTTAGCTGCCTTCTCCCCCGTTACAGTCCCCGATTGCTGCACTAGACGGTAAAATCGACGCAATCCGTGTAGATGGACCCCTTTTAGTCCTCGATAGTTCCACTAGCCTGGTGGTTCAGTGGGACTTCATACTGCATATATGGAGTAGATGCGTTAAAGACACATGATGCCAAAGCTTCTATAAGAACCATTGTCATTTCGTCCACATTTTTAAAACTGGTCGGCTTTTCGGGTCAACAGTTCGCTTGTGCGCCGTGTGTGATGAGTTACCGGACTAATTTGACTTTGACAATTTAGTCCCGTTTTCTGTGCCCGCATTGCTTGCTTGAATGTGACGGAAAACAAAACCCCCTTACAGCCCACCTTGCTGGCCTACGTTGTTTTCGCGGTCTGTTGTCAGGTTACGTAACGCTCAAAATCTCTATATTATTCACTGCTCTGTTTTACTTGCTGCCTTTAAGGCTAGGGGCTCGTGATACATAACTCGTTAGTTAGTAAGAACAGTATCTTCATCGTCATTGGTGACTCCCGACGTTAACGCAGACTTTATACCTTTCTGTCATACTGAATATCATTTAACGTACTACTTGTTTGTGAAATTCTATTCCATTTACGCCTACCTTTCTCACGATTTCTGATATTTTGCCATCTTTGTCTTATTATGTCTGAGTCCAACCATCAGCCGGATACCTCCGCCCAGTCCCTTCCTGCAATCAATTTTACCTTGTCTGAATTCTGGCAACACGCTCCAGAACTTCACGTCATCCGCATAGAATCAGCCTTTTTATTCTTCCAACGTTACCACGGAACTGGCAAAATACCACAAACTTGTGGAGGTTCTCCCCGCTAGCGTCATCTCTCAAGTTCAATCCTTGCTATAAAATCTTCCTGCAGATGCTCCCTACCCCACGTTAAAAGCAGAAATTCTTCGACTTAATTCTGTGTCCGACCGACAGCGGTATCACCAGTTACTTAAGGAGGAGTCAATGGGCGAGCGGAAGCCCTCAGAACTTCTGCGTCGAATGCGTTCTCTACTTGGAGACATGCAGGTTGACGATAAATTCGTCAAGATGTTTCTATAGCGTCTGACTAAAGATGTTCAAACGATCCTGGCGTCCGGGTTTCAAGATCTAACGGTATCACAGTTGGCTGAGATGGCAATTCGAATGATAGAGGTGCAGCGGTTCCAGTCACCTTCCGATGCGCAGATCTCCTCATCATCATCGTCAGTGAATGAGAAGTTAATGAGGCAGGTGTCGGCCATTGAGGATGAGCTGGTCTCCCTTAAAATACAGCTCGCCCGCCTTAATTCCAGTCGCTCACGCAGCCGTCGTCGTTCCCGTTCGCAACCGCGGACTGCCGAAACTTGTTGGTACCACACTAATTGCGGCGGAAATGCCCGTCGATGTTCCTCGCCTTGTTTTTTTAAGCCAAAACAGGGAAACCATTCAGACAGAGAATAGATGTGGCCGTTTTCTCCGGCTCTTTCGGCCCTGGTCGCACCTTCTATGTTTGCGACACTGTGACTCGCAGACGTTTCTTGGTGGACACTGGAGCCCAAATCAGCGATGTTCCCCCAATTGCAGCTGATCGTCGTTTCCCTAGCTATGGTCTACACCTCTAAGCTGCCAAATGTTCCCCCATTCTCACTTTTGGCAGTCTATCCCTCACCCTGAACATTGGCCTTCACGGTCATTCAACTGGATCTTTGTGATTGCTGATATCCCTCATGCAATCCTCGACTCGGACTTTCTTGCCGAGTTCGACCTCCATGTTGACTGCCGACGTGCCCGTCTCCTCGACCGCACAACCGGTCTGTTTCTTTGTAGATTAACTCTCTTTACTTCCCCCACCAACTTATTCGTCTTCGATACGGATATTGTTAGCCCCTTTCGGCAACAGCTTCTTAGTCACCCCAAAATAATTAACCCCCAGTTTCGCAGTGGTGGGATTCAACATGATGTTGTGGTGCATACCCGCACCTCAGGTCCTCCTGTGTTTGCTCAGTCGCGACGACCAGCACCGGAGTGTTTTCAGGACGCGAAAGCCGGGTTTAAACATATACTGTGAGTGGGAATAATTCGACCGTCCTAGAGCCTTTGTACGTCCCCACTGCACGTGGTGCCCAAGGCGACATCAGGCGACTGGCCACCCTGTGGCGACTATAGAACCCTCAACAGCGCTACCATTCCTGATCGGTACCCCGTGCCTCATTTTCAGGACTTTGCTGGAGCCCTTTTCGGCAAAGCGGTTTTCTCGAAGATTGATCTGGTGCGTACTTTTCATCAGACTCCAGTCGCCCCTAAGGACATCCCTAAAACCGCCGTCATCACACCCGTCGGTCTCTTTGAGTTAATCCGCATGCCGTTTCGTCTTCGTAATGCCGCCCAAACGTTTCAGAGGTTCATCGACGTGGCCTAACCTTTGTGAACGCCTACACTTATGACCTCTTGATTTCCAGCCGGAATGAGGAAGAACACAAAGAGCATCTTGCCTTGGTGTTTGACCGACTTGACAAGTTTGGCCTTGTCATCAACCCCTCCAAGTGCGTGTTGGATGTGCCTTCGCTCGAGTTCCTCGGCCATCAGGTTGACTCTAAAGGTTTGCGTTCCCTCCTCTTCAAGGTTGAAGCAGTTGGTAATTTCCCTTCCAAGCGACAGTTGCAACGATTCCTCGGCATGGTCAATTTTAAACGCCAATTCCTACCGAACTGTGCTGACCTCATGTTGCCGCTCACCAACATGCTTTCTGGTCCCAAAGGTCCACTCGAGCTGACTTGTGAAGCACTGACTGCTTTTGAGAGAATCAAGAATTCGCTTGCCGATGCCACCTAACTCACGGATCCCGCTCCCGAAGCTCAGCTGTCTCTGATGGTAGATGCTTCGACCGAAGCCGTAGGTGCAGTCCTTCAACAACACCTTGCTGGTTCGACTCAACCACTAGCCTTTTTCTCCAAAAAAGCTCTTACCAGCTGAGACACGCTACAGTACCTTTGGCCGTGAACTACTTGCCATGTACCTGACGGTGAAGCATTTCCGGTATTTCCTTGAAGGTCGAGACTTCACTGTCCTCACTGACCACAAACCGTTGACTTTTGCACATCGTTCCCACTCCGACAAATACAATCCGAGTGAAAACGCCCACCTGAATTACATCTCCCAATTCACCACCGACATTCGCCGCATTGATGGCACGAAGAATGAGGTGGCTGATATGCTGTCCAGACCCTCACTGTCTTCCCTCCAACTCTCACGCGGGACCGATCTTTGTGACATGGCGGCTGAGCAACAGCAAGTCGGTTGTCCTGGCAACGAGTCTGTTAGTGGTCTCTAACTCAAAGACGTTCCTCTGATCACCGGCTCTGGTACTATGCTTTGTGAAGTTTTGATTCCCTTTCATCGCCCTTTCGAGCCCGTCTCAATGCGTCGAGCTGTATTTCAAACTTTGCATGGATCCCTTCACCCTGGGATCCGACGTCTTAAAGCTTCTCGCAAAAGGTTTGTCTAGCTTGGAATGAACAAGGGCGTCAAAGTTTGGACCCGATCGTGTCTGAGCTGCCAGCGCAACGTGGTGCAGCGTCACAACAAGTCCCCACCAGGCACTTTCCCCAGTCCCAACGCACGGTTCAGCCATGTGCACCTGGATGTCGTAGGCCCCTTGACTCCATCCAGTGGTTTCACCCACCTTCTTACCTGTGTCGATCGATATACCCGCTGGGCGGAAGCTATTCCTTTGGCGAATGCGCAGGCTGAAACCATCGTGAAGGACTTCGTCAGCTGTTTAGTCGCCACGTTCAGTGCCCCTTCAACGGTTACGACTGATCGTGGTGCCCAATTTGAGTCGGCACTCTTCCAAACGCTACTCAATTTTCTTGGCTGCACAGGCATTCGAACGACGGCCTAGCACCCAGCTGCCAACAGTATGATTGAGCGTTTCTATCGCCAGCTATAGACCGCCCTGCATGCCATAGAAGACCCAGGAAACTGGTCGAACAACCTTCCACTTGCACTCCTCGGCATCCGAGCAGCTCTGAAGTCGGATCTGGGCTATTGCGCAGTTGAACTGGCATTACCCTAAGACTGCCAGGCGAGAAGATCACCCCAACATCTCGTGGAGCCGATAAGACTCCTGACAATCTTGTGTACCGTTTGCGGCAATTTATGCGCTCGCTTATCCCGGTTCCACCTCGAAGTCCAATGACTGAGTCTTATGTTGAAAAAGACTTGAACAACTTTACTCATGTGTTCGTCCGGTGTGACCGTGTGCGCCAGCCGCTGGAATCCCCATACGAAGGTCCGTTCCGCGTGCTCGCGCACAACGCCAAGACCTGCCGGATTCTTCGCGGTGACAAGGAGGACGTGGTCAGTGTCGATCGGGTCAAGGCTGCTGTTGCAGACTAGCCGCCGGACCTGTCACAAGGACAAACATGTGCTAACCCCCTAACCCCTGTTCCTACATCTTCCCTATACCCTGCTCATTCACCCTGCCTACTGCCTCGCCCTTCCTCTCCCTTGCCCTCCACCCCTCCGTCCCAAATGCTTCCTCTCCCTACATGTCTAGAGCATCCAACGGCAACAGCGCCGTCCATGATAGCACGCAGTCAACCCTCTTCGACTGTACCTACTGCTTGCATCACTCGCAGTGGCCGTCACGTTCATTTCCCCGATCGTTTAGTTACGCATTTTTTCTAGACTTATGCATATCCTCCAGCGCCGTATTCCGTCGCCCTCCGGTCTGGTAGGGGGGTACTGTGATGAGGTACCGGACTAATTTGCCTTTGGCAATTTAGTGCCGGTTTCATTGACCGGATTGCTTGTTTGAATGTGACGAAAAACAACACACCTGTACAACCCGCCTCGCTAGCGTGCTCCGCTGTCGTGCTCTCTTGTCAGGTTACTTAACGTTCCAAGTCTCTATATAATTCACTGCCCAGTTTAACTTGCTGCTTTTGAGGCTACGGGCTGGTGATATATAACTCGTTAGTTCGCCCGAACATTACTTCCTCGTCACGTGCTGCAATACGGCTGCCTAATTGGTCCCACACATTTCGCCCCTGCACCATTGTTGGCAGGCACGCGCATAATGTACAATTGCGTAGACAAGCCTATTGGATTAATGTCTGGTGAGAGTTATTGTCTGCTTAGACGTTTTGAGCATTATCGTAGTGGGTGTTTGGCGATTTACAATGCTTTCTGCCACATCGACATCCCTTTTGCTGGGCATAGTCGTTGCATTTGGTCTTCCAATAGACCCTGCCTCAGAATTCTGTATGTACACCAGTGTTAACATATATGCTCGTAATATTTTGTCGTTTATTATAAAGCCCGTTCGACTTAATAAGCTGTATATTTATTTATTGTTACAGACAGGCCGGAGTTTAATATTTCAACAAGGCTGAATGCGCCGTTTGTTGTTTTGTACTTTTTTCGGAAAAAAACCCATTGTACGTTTTAACTCTCAGTGTTTGAAGACTTTATCCTTCGCAATGACAGATGACTTGTGTTTCGCTTTCGGTGCCAAAGTTCCAGAAGGATCATCCAGAAATTCCTGAATAAATGGAAGCTCTTGCTGAGAGGCCTTGAATGGTAGGTATTTTGCGATGGAAACATATGACTTTTTAAATGAAAAGTCAAGAGTTGCGTCTGTGGTTTGCTGCTTTACCATAGCCAGAGATTGTGTATGCTGTACGTTTTAGACAGACAGTGTTCGACAATTCTGGCAATTCCATCATAAGGACAGGGGGGCATTATCCTTTATCTAAAGGACACTACGAAATCCCCTTCAGCTATAGTTGTGAAGAGCAATGTCAGCGACGTTCAAGGTACATTTTAAAGTTTGCTCAATTACTCCTTATACGCATCCTGTTGACTAGTCTCCAAAAAGAGCGTTTGTAACTAATTGTTTCCGATGCATGTCAGGTCTATTTTCTTACGTAAACATTGAAGTGACACGAAATAATAAGTTCAGCCAGTGACTGTTTTATTTCATCGGCACATTTTTTGAATGAGACTGACTGTAATCTAACATCCGTCATAGTATTTGTAATGTCAGTACATGTTAATTTTTCTCAATGACCTGCGCCTTCAATTTTATTTATACGACCAAGCGCATTAACTTTCGGACTGAACAAAAATGACCCCTTAGTGCAATTTGATGAACTGGAAACATTAGCGCGAATACTACTATTTAGTAAATGCGGAGCAGTAGGCTGTGAAGAAATTCGCAGACAATAGCACATTTTTGTAGACACAGCACTTATGTTTACTATCAAACATTTGATTCTAGCAGTTTAGCAGTTAGACATACTAGTAAGCGCATTAAGTATTGTTAAAAGCCTGATTGCTGGAGGATAGTAAAACACTTGCCCTATGCAGCTGACATGTTACCAATCGGTTTGGGCGAAGTTCTAAAGCCTCGGCTGGTCGAATCAAGAGAAAACCTAGTGACTCTTCTATATGACGAGGAGGTCACGGTAGGTTTGACTTTTTTGTCATCAAGTGGGACACATAAAATATTGGTACCATAAAAACGCTCACGATATATGAATATGCTAAAAGCAGATTGTTTTTCATTGGGAAGATGGTATTGAACAGGAAAGTTCTGTAGACTGTCCGAAACACAGCAAACCTGATACATTTTGCTAGCTGACATTTGACAAAGTAAACCTTCTCGCTAGACATATCACTCGCGTCAGCAGCAATCTGCTTGCATCATGCTTTACTTGCACTAAGTAGTACTACGACCTCTCATTTCCAAGTAAGTTGTGGTACATTGTCTAAGCGAAGAAATTAGGCACGCTGGGATACCGTAGACACAGTCGATTCCAACGCCACTGTTGGCGTGAGATTATGGAGCGATCGTTACACCACCAGTTAGCAATTAATGCAATTTCAGCGATTTACGACTCGAAGGTCAGATATCACAAAGTTCTTTTACCAAGTGCATTACTCCATAATGAAGCAGGGGAGTATGCAGCAACGTGGCGACTGAATCCTTTACAAACAGCAACCCCTTGTGCATGCACTGATGTTTGTTGTCTTTGACGATGGGCTAGATCATAAGTTTGAAACGTTAAACAGATAAAGTAAACGGTACAGCGATTGTGTCTGCTTCTTCGCACTTTTCCTTTGCATATTACAAGGAGTATGCAAGACAGAAATACTTCCGTGTAACCCTGCAGATGAGTGCTAAACGACGAAAATAACGCCACCAATATAACCCGTCGGTGAGGCTAAAACTTGCTGTGTCTGGTGGTTCTTGTGGGGACAGCGATTGTGAGATTTCCTTGGCTAGCAGGTCATATAATTGCTGAGGACGTTTTCAAAACATTTTGGAGCTTTGCTTATTTCTGCGACTGCGACTATGCTGAAAGAAAAGCAAACGATCCCAGCATTAAACAACGCAAGATGTCATCATGGAACAAAGGGCATATTTTGAAGGAATTAATACAGACGAGTAATACAATTTACCTTGTAGTGCGACAAACTACATAAAAGCATTATTATATCCTCCCCTACACCAACGGCCTACAATCGTATTCGCGGCGAATGTGAATGTGGCGTTTTTAATCAAACTACGCGCACTAAGGACAAAGGAAAACTTGTACTTGTTAATCTACTAATAATTCCAGTAAACCCCAGATTGACTAAATATTTGCTTTTTAGTCAGCAAAGGGACGTATCTTGTTCAGTTTTAGTGAACGCAGCCATTACAATCATTTTAGTCTACGGATCTAATTACATATCCAAATTTGCATATGTCGACAGCATTTAATTGCAAACTTCCTGCAGTAAGTGAACAAGTATGTTTATTTACATTTTACGCCAAATAAAAGCGCCATACATTAACATTTAAGAATATGCGAAAGACTTCCGGATATGTTGTCGCTGAGGTATTTATTAAGGTTTTACATAAAAGAACCCCGACATATTGCTAACTTAAGTAACGAATGTCAGTAACCTGTAAAAATGGCATTCGGTCAAAAATCTGGAGGAATGTTGTCCAGAATGTGTCAGTCCTTAGACAGGTAGTAAACTATAATGAGGTATATTAATAAAGCGGTTTACCTAGAGGTTCGTATTCATCTACGGTGAATATCAGTTCCATTTCAGCACTTCCAAAGTAGACGTTTATTAAACAGAATGTGACAAAAATATATTCGATAGACAGAAAGGCAAGCTGCACGCTCTCATCCGCATCAACTGTCTACATATGATGTGGGAAATTTGCCATATCTCAACCACTGACTGAAGGTGCATGCGCTTTTGCAGTTGAGCTTATGGCAAGTGTTCGTCAGAAAAGCACATTCAACATCCCACTCATACGCGCACATT